GTTTTGATAATTTTAAGAGAATGTCTCTATTCTTTGAAAGACCCACTCAGATTTTTAAATGTGACAGGAAACAATGTCACCAACTCTGTTTTAAACAGTTCAGAAAAAAAAGTATATGCACACATGACAGAAAGATAGAATCACAGAAAAAATTTGGACAAAAAAGTAAATAAATCCTGGCCAGTATGACTCAGTAGTAGAGAGCATTGATCTATGAACCAGGAAGTCATATTTCTTTTCCCTATCAGGCTACATGCCTGTGTTGCGGGCTCAATACCCAGTGGTGGATGTGCAGAAGGCAGCCAATCAACCATTCTCACTTATCACTGATGTTTCTATCTCTCCCTCCCTATCTGAAAAAAATAAATAAATTATTGAATAAAAAAACATATATATATGTAAACAATTAGTAAATTGAGATAAAGTTCTTATTGGAATCTCAGAAATATTCTTGCATCTTTTCTATTAGCCTAATATATACTAAAATAAAAACTTCCAAGAAGAGTAACATACAATCATTCATTTGGGGAATCATAAATATCCTTTCAATTTTGCTAAGTGTAATGTTAATGTTTACAAACACTATTTAGAAAGGGATATCCAAGATTACCCTAAAGCTAACTTAAAATCAAATATAAACTTTAAAGGGAAAATTTTAACATTGCAGCATACACACACACACACACACACACACACACACACACACATATATATATATATATATATATATATATATATATATATATATACTGGAATTATATATTTTAGTTAAAATTTATATTTATAGGGGATTCTTCTATAATTTTCAACTTTTTTCCTCTTTAATCTGTCTGTAATATTAAAAATTTTTGGACACTAGATCAATACCATTGAAAATTTAGAAATATCTCTTAGCTATTCTATTCTTATATTATTTCCAAATTCAGATTATTCTATTATTTTTTAACTTATTCCATATGTATTATTAATTGGTATATTTGCCATTCTATTGTTTTGTTCAATAAAATATCCTGGTTGATAATAAAATGTATTGTACTGTAACAACACAGTTTTTAAAAAATTGCAAAACTCAGAGATCAGAGCAAAACACATGAGTTGAGCCACTTTGGACTGAAAAACACACACAATGACATCACCTACTTTTACTATTTCACAGTTCTTTTTTTCCTAAGCCACAACTTCTTTCCATTGATTCATCCTAAAAAATACATTTTTTATTAAGTATAGTCATTCATAAAGCAAATATACTATATTGTGCTCACTACATTAAAGTTTAATATGGTATGGTGTATGAGTTAGGGGAGTATATTCATAAACAATATAGTAATAGCTTCAAAACTGGAAGGTAGCACATTTAAACACATCAATTTATTTTTAAACCAAATCCGAATCATCATTGTCATTGTTAAGTATGTATAAGATATTTCAAAGCAAACATTTTGTCTTTATTAAACTTATTTTTTTATAGTGTCCATAACTTGTTATTGGGCACATGAATTGCTTTTTAATTAATCTAAATTTGAAATTATCTGTGTCACTGGTGCTTCTACCATCTAGCTATCAAGGACAATGTATGGAACATAGGACATAGATACATAGATAATTAGCTCTGCTACTTATCAGATCTGAATATAAAAAGTCATGAAAATGCATTAAGCATTCTTCTTGACTGTATGTGCTATCAGGGTTTATCTTTGTACTTTATTTTTATACCTAACTCAATTAAATAGTACTGATATATACCTGATAGGTTTTCTATTTTAGATTCCTTTTTTTCTGTTTCTATAAGAAAATAATGATATTTAAACCCTTATTTCTCACAAGTAATGTTCCTGATGATCCAGGTTGACCTTCTTGGCATAATTAATTCAAGATCTAAGCTGTCTTCATTTTTAAGCTATCTTCAATAATATAGGCTATAATTACTTTTATGTTGGGTTCTGTTTGACTTTTTATTTAAATTGCATTATATTTTTATTGTATAACTACAGGCCTAGTGCACAGATTTGTGCACTGGTGAGGTCCCTCGGCATAGCCTGTGGGGATCGGGTTGAAACCAGCATCCAACATTCCCCAAGGGATTTTGTAGTGTGTGAAGCAGCAGGTGGCTGGGGAGGAGCCACTCCCACTCATCCTGACACTGCTCATCCTGGTCAGCTGAGCAGTGCTCCCACTGTGGGAGCACACTTACCACCAGGGGACAGCTCCTTCATTCAGTGTCTCCCCCTTGGTGGTCAGTGCACATCATAGAGACCAGTTGACAGGTTGTTTGATCCTTTGGTCCTTCAGATGCTTAGGCTTTTATATAATATATACAGATGGTTTTATAATATAAACTAGAAGCCTGGTATACAAAATCCGTGCATGGGGGAGGGGGGAAGTAAGGGATACCAGATATCAGAACTAGCATACTGAAATAGAGAAGTGTGAATTAGCATGGTATGGACAAAGTATGAACTGTGTGTTGAATAAAAGAGATGTGGTGATTAGCAAATGAACCTGGAGATTAGACAGAAGCCATAAATATTATAATAGTCAGTACTAATGAGCCATGGTATTATTGGTTAGCTTTTCTCAGAAAGAACATTATGTCCTAAAACCACTGACTGGGAAATGCAGGATGTGGCACAAATGGAGTTGTGAGTACAAAAAACACAAGAGTTTATTCTTATATTAATTATTATATTATTTTCCATATGAACAACTGCAGTCCTACTGTTTCCCCACCCTGTATATGTTGAGCAGTAAAAAGTAAATAATTGACCAACAGGACATAGCCATGTAGGTATTGGACAGTCAACTCAACAGGCATGTCCTGATCATTGGCTTCAGAAAAGGCCAACAACACTTTAAGAAACTGGAAGGGAAGCTCACTCACACCATCTGAGAATGAGCCTAGGGCCTTTATTCTCCCAGTCTTCATTTTAGAAGGCAGAATCACTCCCTCTCCAGACCTAAAGTGCTGACAGCATTTTAACCAACTCCAGTTATTTCTCTCCATGAGCCCTTGAGCTCAAGGTAGCATTTCCTTTGGAGTTAGTTTCTTTGTCTTGCCACTCTCATTCCTTTGGGGGCTTGCACAGGTGACCTGAAACTGTAGTCTTGTCAATGTTGGGGCTGTCACTTTCCATGCCTTGGCTGGATAAATGCACTATGTGCAGACTTGTATTCCACATCACTGTATTTCACTCATTTGATAAGAACTCTGCTATCTCCTCTCAGAAATCACTGAGCTCACTACTATCTCAGTCAATACTAAACTTGCTTTTTGAAGTGGAATCTTGACACATTCCCTCAAATTTCCCCAGCATTTCAGTCTTACTTGCCATCACCTGTCCTACACTATTGTGCAAGCTTTATGAAGTGACTTACTATGCCTTTCCATTCTTTCTCTTGCTTCTAATATAAACCATCAGGCCTCACATCAAGATAGAAAAATTATACCATCTTGTTGTGTGGACCTTATAATTTCAAGAATATTGTGTGGTGATAAATCTGTATCTCCTTACATCAATTAAAGGTATGGATAGAGCTTTTCTAGGGCAGATTTCACAACTGGGACAAACCAAATAGAGTATTACTAGGCAATCCTGCCAACCATGACATTGGCTCAGTAGCTCTTTCTGCAAAAATCAAAGCATCTAGTAACAGTTTCACTTACTGAGAAATGTAATTTAGTACATAAATACTAACAACAACACCAAGACGGAAGTTAATGCTCTCTTATCAAAAGCATGGATAGAGTTAAGCAAAAGTGTTCACTTCATAAAATTGACAGAATGTGCATGTATAATTTGTTCACTTTTTGTTATATTTACATAATTACGTAAAAGAGTTTACACAAAGCAATAAATGTATACTAAAACATATAATGAGAAATGTTCAATTCAGCTAATTATAAATAGTCATATTGGGTGATTTTTGATGTATTGCTTTTGGTATTAGGGCACTAAAATAATATAGCTTATAAAATAACAACCTTTGTTCATTTTTTTATTTTGTTTCTTTTCCAAATTTATATGAATTAAAATAATATACATGAGTATATATGCATGTATGTGTATATTATTTTTTAAATGAATGAATTATTTAGTTCAATTAAATAATTAAAAATAAATGAACAACACACATATGTATACACATATGACTATCATCTATACATAAGAAACTAAAGAGTTCTATGACTTAAACTTTATATCCACAGTATTCATTTCAAGCTATCAAATATTTAATACCAGCTATTCTTTGGGATTTGTTAGCATATCTTTTAAAACTTGCCTGCGGCAGCTACAAGAATAAATGTAAAAAGTGGTTTTGATTATCGTTTTGGATTGTCAACCTTGACAGTTTGGGTGGAATTTATAGCCATGAAGAAAGAATACAGATACTCACACCAGTGTACCTTTATCCTTTTCCTGAGGAAGATTCTCTCCCAAAATAACTAAAGAGCTTGTTATTTGACAGGAGAATTACAGAGTAGAGCTCCTTGAGAGTAATCTGGAGCATGAGAGTCTGGAAATAAGACTTTTCTAGTGACCAGTTTGGATCTACAGGCACATACTAAAGCTTATACAAAAGTGCCTTTTAGCAAAATTAAAACACCATTTATTTTATAACTGTAATCAGGAAGAATAGAATACTTTGAACTCAAATTATATTAAGCAGAAATTTAAAAAGAGTATATATTTAAAAATAGAAGGTTGACTGTTAAGGAAAAAATAAAACCAAATAATTACTTTTTTTTGCTAGGATATAATCAAAGGGTAAACTTTTCTGTATCCAGATGGTTTAGAGAAGCATCTCAGGACTCTTATCCCCTCTAGGGAGGGACCTGAAAGAAACAATAACTATGAACTTTATGACTACAAAAATCCAGAGGTGCCCCTGAAAGAATGTTTGTATTCTCTTACCTAATGCCTAACCAACACGTGAATAATTCATTAAAATGGGGGCTTAAAGGATTGGCTGTTGAAACGCCTATCTTGTTTCCATGGGGTCAGGTTCTGAGTAAGCTCTGCTCTGCTGTTCCTAAAGCATGGATAAACTGCATTGGTAAGATGGTGCCAGTGAAAAAGAACTGAGGAATGCTGCCTTCAGGTATTTCCTTAAACTCTTTCACAATTTGATTGGTAGCTGAATTTCAAGATTCTTTGTTACTCGCACCTGTGCATCATAATTGCTGAGGCATATTATCATCCACACTTACATTGAGTCTGCATATAGCTTTACCCTGAAATCCACATGTCTTTGTGAGACATACATTTTTTTTTCATTTAAGTCCTTTTATTACAGTGGTGCCAGCTACTGCTGCTATCGTTAAATGCCTGTCAGCATTTCCATTAAAAACCTTATTTTCAGGGGATTTATAACCGAGCCATTTTAATTCACATTCTGCTGAATGTTGCCATCGAAATTCTCAACATACAGTAGGCACTATTTTCTTTTATCGCCAAATTTTATTTGAATCTGTTTATCTGCCTGAGATTTAGCAATGTGTGAAACCCTAATATTGCGATGAAAGAAAAGTAGAGATGTTTTCTGAAGTAAAGCTCTACACATGCAAACCTAAAGAAGAGCTATAAAACTTGTCTGATCCCTGACAAGCAAATAGGGAATTTGAAACCATTTTTTTAGTGTGCTAATATTTTATACTCATGTTTTTATATTTAAAAATATATTTTATTGTGAACACCAATTTATATAATGAAAAGTTATGGTCACTTCAGCAAAGCATCTTGTTCACTTTAACAGGCTTAATGGCATTATGAAATCCTATATAATAAAAGCCTACTATGCTAAGTGTACGGTTGTCCAGGTGGCCATTCAACCAATCAAAGCATAATGTGCTAATGATATGCTAAGGCTGCTCAACCACCTGCACTGACCACCAGGGGGCAGATGCTCCAACCAGTAAGTTAGCTTGCTGCTGGGGTCTGGGAGAGGCAAGACAGACACCCCCTGGATCCCTCTGGGGACCCACCCTGGCTGGCCAACCTCCCGTGTCCCTCCCCGGCCCCTTGTGCACCAGTGGGGTCCATCAGCCTGGTCTGTGCTCTCTCTGAAACTGGGAGTCCTCAGGTGATGTCAGAGAGCTGGTTTTGGCCTGATCCCACAGACCAGGTTGAAGGACCCCACTGGTGCATGAATTTGTGCACTAGGCCTCTAGTATACTATAAAACCATAACCCTTTTGTAGTAAAATAAAAAGTTTTAATGTATAAATTTGACATCTTGTTTTTTTTTTTAAGAAATTTTATCCACTTTTGTTTTTATTTTTAATGAAAGGAACCATGGTTTAATTTTTTTCAAAATATAAGATGAGTCTGGATGGCATGGCTCAGTGGTTGAGCATTGGACATATGAACCAGAAGGTCATGATTCAATTCCTGGTCAGGGCACATGCTCAGGTTGCAGACTCAATCCCCAAGGGGAGGGCATGTGGGAGGCATCTAATTAATGATTCTCTCTCATCATTGATGCCTCTCTCTCTCCCTTCCTCTCTGAAATTAATAAAAATATATTAAAAATAAAAAAGATTTTACATTACCTGGCTTTTTAAATTTGTTTTTATTGTAAGGATAAGTATATACTGAACATTTTAAAATATTCTAAAAAAATAACAATTTAGATATTGAATATATAGAAGAAAACAGATCACTCTCAGGTTTTATTGCTGATGAATGCATTAAGAAAACAAAAGAACTGACAATCTAAATTTGTAGGGATTTTATAAATAAAAACAGGTATGGCAAGACAGTGCCCATGATAGCTAAGTGACCAAAAAGAAAAACCTTTATGAAATCATACAACACAGGTGTAAGAATATTTGAAACTTAAAAAAAAAAAAAATAAGAACAATTTGTTGAAAGAGAATAACTGTAAAGATAGTGGCCTGATTGCCCTTATTATGTAGTTATCATTAACATTTGCCCTATGCCTGGAATTGATTTTATGCTTTACCCTACCTCATTTAAGAATCCTAATGACTTTTTTATATGGGAATTATTATTATGCTCACTTTAGATGTGAAAAAATTTAGGCTAAGTAAATTAAAGTTGTTTGTCTCAAATCAGACCAAATGAGGTGATAGAGCCAAAACTTAACTAATTCTTAAGGCTGTGACCTACTTGGTCAAAGATATAAAAATTGAATGGAAAGAAGATATGTTAATTTTGCATGCATCTAAAATATAAAAGTAAAAGTAAGTTACATTTAATTTCTCTCTGATTCTCTGTTTCTTTATGTCTATAACACAGTGGCTAGATATCTAGCTAAAAGCATTTTGTCATTCTGCATGAGTCAGTGAGCCAGCACTCTGTTGCCCAAATCCCATTATTTTTATTATTTTTAATTGAATTTATTGGGCTGTCATTGGTTAATAAAATTATACAAAGGACTCAAGTGTACAACTCATTAAAACATCATCTGCATATACTGCATTATGTACTCATCATCCAGAGCAAAGGTTTTTTTTCCTTTCTTATTTACCCCACCTTCCCCCCCACCCACTTTCTGGCTGATTATCACCATGCAGTCATACAGTTGTCGGTGTATATTAGTTATGTGTGTGTGTGTGTGTGTATACACAGACAACTGTATGGCTGCATGGTGATAACCAGACACACACACACACACACACACACACACACACACACATATATACATATACATATACATATACATATACATATACATATACATACATATACATATACATATATATATATATATATATATATATATATATATATATATATATATATATATATTTAGAGGCCTATTGCATGAAGATTTGTGCAATAGGCCTTCCTTCCTCTGGCTGCTGGCACCCGTTTTCCTCCATCACCTGGGACCCAGGCATTAACTCCAGTCGTAGTGGAGAAGCCAAGACTTGAGGCTTTTCCACTCAGGCTGCAATAAGGCTTGGTTTCTCCGATCTGTCTGCAGTGGAGAAGCCAAACCTCTTCAGTCTTCATGCTTCAGTCTTCAGTAGTCTTTAGTCTTCAGTTCTTCAGTCTTCAGTCTTCAGCCTTTACTTAGGCCAGAGCTTTTAGTCTTTGTTACGCACCTGCATAATGTAATTAACCTGCCATCTTTGTTGGGCTAATTTGCATACTCACTCCTGATTGGATAGTATGTGTCATGATGTACAGTCAATTTGCATATTTCTCTTTTATTAAAAAAATATATATTTTCCTCAATATATATATATATATATATATATATATATATATATAGAGAGAGAGAGAGAGAGAGAGAGAGAGAGAGAGAGAGAGAGAGAGGGAGGGAGAGAGAATATATTCCCCTTTTATTTTACTCAGCCCCCTCTGACAGTCACCAGACTCTTCAAGGAGAAAAGGGAGTGGACACAAATAAAAAGAATTATAAATGAAAGAGAAGGAGTAACAATGACACAGCACCATATTTACCTATTAGAGCTATGCTTCTAATGTACTGTTTCAGATATCAGACATCTTTGTTAAAAGTCATAGCCCTGGGAACTGTATTTTATTTCAGTGTAAAAACACGTAAATTAATAGTTATAGTACAACATCATTATAGACTTGGATAGAAATGTGAACAGAGTTATTTGAGCACATAAGAGGGATGTTTCACCCAGCAAGGGAATGGGGAAACTGAGGATGGTGTGGAAAGAAAACTAGAGGAGGGAACTGAATCTTGAGGAAGTGGGATTATGTAAGAGTTCCAAAGCAGGTAAGATGGAGAAGTCTGAAGGAAAATTTTAAGTGCAGGGACATTTTGGTAGTGTATGCAAGGCATAGAGCTGTAAAAGAGCAAAGCACATTCAAATATCTTTTAACAATTTAATATGATCAGAACATGGAAAGACTGGGAAGTGAGCTCCAGAAGACAGGCTCCAGACCTCTCAGTCCAAAAAAAGCATCATCTGTTTAATCATGAAAGTTAATGACAATTCACTGAAGGCTGAAATCAGAAAGAGCACCAAAGTACAAATGGCTAGTTAGGCAGCATAGGGGAGTAACACAATCAGTTTTTCACTGTAGAAAGATGATCCACAGGTCCGTGGAAAAGGCTTTCATGGAGAGGACAGGGAAACAGGACAGGTGCTTTCTGATTCCCAAAATTGCTCTTTCTCCATTTTTCCTGGCTGCCTCTCTGGAACTTCCCTAAGTAACTGAGAGGTTTGTCCTGGTGCCTGCGCTCAGTTGATAATCATGAAGAAATACTTGATCACCTGTACCTAGATTCACTTAAGGTATTTAAATACCTATGAATCCTTCAAAAGATAAATGGTGTTGTCATAACTTCACTGAATCTTCTGCACAGTTAACATACACAACATGTAAGCCCAAGTTTGGAGATGGTTCTAGCACTTCATGATGCCTAGACAGGCTTCTAGAACATACAAATAAGATCATGGTCACCTGGCTTTAAATATTGAGGTTTTAAAACACCACGTCATTTTTAATTTTTCAATATATGTCTTAATGTTTTCTCTATGTGGCATACTTGAATGAGTTAAATTTATTTGGGTGTGCTTCTTAGTAGATTTTTAAGAACTTTCTTTATTTGTTTTTTAGTAATAATAGCATTCCCTGGTTACTCTCTTGAGAATGTATACATTAATATGTGCTTGAAAAAATTGGAATTTTTTTCACTAACATTGAACTTAGATAACTTAATATGTTATATTAAGAGACAGAGCCCAATTCAAAGTAAAAGAATTATTCCATTGATTCATGGACAGGTCATACTATTCATGAACCAAAATTCTGACAAAAGGTTTAAATTGATGGTCTTTATTTGATCTTTCAGAGGTTTTCATTATTTAATATGTGGGATTTATATATGAGCTGGTAACTTACTAGTTTTTAAACCTTAAATTGGTTACTTATTGAGCATGGTAGTTATAATGTATTTTCATCAATATACTGTATCATAAATCTGCAGTATTTTGCCATTTGCTTTAAAATCAGCAAAGCAAGCAAAAATTCTTATAATAGTTTATGTAGTCAGCATTGGCTTTCCAAACTGGTCAGATATCAAATATATCATTCTATTTGATATTAAGTAAAATGTACATAAACCAAGACTCTATAGTAAATAGGATTTCTCTTACAG